ACCACTCTGAGCTGATGGACAGGACTTGTGGCACCAGGATGGAGAGTGGAAAACAGTATTATTTCAACATGGGCAGGAGTAAAACCCACCCAGGACACCTGTACTGAGTTAATCATTAGAGACTGCTCATGTGTGAATAAACACAGTGACCATTTAATTATTTCAATTCCTGATGATCCTAGATCTGTTTACAGAAAATGAAGGACCATTTTCCTTAATGACATATTACAGGAGATAAATTTAAAAAGCTAATTGCACTTGGGAGTTCAAGATAAATTGACATGCTCTTAAATACATACATTTCTTTTTCCTTCCTGTTCTCTAATGAGTTCATAACTTAATTGGAGAAACTGCTAGATTCCCTCCAAATACTACTGAAAATCTCAAAGGAGAACAAGCTGCTTATGCAAGTGTTCTCATAAAACAAAGAGTATTCAAGCATGGTAAATAAATACTAGAAACAAGAATGGTATTCATTTGTCTCCTTAAAAGCTTGAAGTCTACATATCTTCAAATTGATGGTCTGGTTCTGAGCTGAACATTAATGAAAACATTTTCTCTTATAAATAAAACCAAAGCCCTTCTATATTTTACCACTTTCCTAGGGCAAAGTTCTGCTTGTACATGCCAGGGTAGCACACAGATTTAATCCAATTAACCCATCTGTAGAATAAGCCAGAGGATGAAACCTGGTACAACCCAGCCTTCACGGTGGCTGTCGGTTGAAGGCTGCAGTGCGAACTCCCGGCTCGGGGGGGCAGATCAGCTCTTTTGGAGAGGAAGGGCACTCACCCACCCCAAATCCAGTGCAGCAATACTGAGTGGTTCAGAGTCACAGCTGGCAAGGGGAGGGCAGGCTGACTAAAAAGACAAAAAAGCCCCAACCCCCTAGGTAGCAAATGTGCTTTCCTTCACGGTAATTTATTCAGATTCTGAGATGGATTTAAATTCAGAAGAGATAATGTGAGAGCAAGAAACTGTTAAAACTGAGGATACTTTTCGCTTGTGTACTGGGAGTTAGAGGTTTCTATTGCTGCTGGAATTGCAACCGTAGCTGAGAAAGGGTCAGAAAACCCTGGGGCTTAAATGCAGAAGCTTCAAGGCGAGAAGAGTATAAAAATAAATTCCAAAGGGCTTAATAACATTGTACAGAGGCTGGGTATTCCGGTGGCAGAAGGAAACTGGTGGCTCTTAGATCAAAACCTAATCACCCAAAAGCAGTAAGATTCTTTGTTTTAGCCAGCTAGTCTTTCTGTCACTGACTGGGGCAATGTTTTTTTACTAGCATCCTGAATTACAGTTAATATACAGTGTATAAATGTACATGGCACTGACAATGTAACAGTTAAAGCAAAAATACTTTGGAATGAATGTAGTTAAACCTTTAGCAGCCTGATCCAAAATCTGCTAGGAACCTTTTCCTTGACTTCAAAGGAATTATTATCAGCATTTTAGTGAACATCTCTTACAAAAAAAATGTTAACAAAGGAGCTGTACCTCACAGCTTACTGCCAGGACTGTCCTTGACGTGGAATCGAAGACAGACAGAGCCTGCAGACAGTCCAGGCCACCTCTGCAGGCAGCAAAGTGAGAGAAACCTTCCTGAGGTTAGCACACAGGACGCCCTCTGATTCTCTGCAGCAAGGCCAGATGATGGGAAAAATGTCTGCTCTCTCTTAGTTTCCCATCCCAGAAGACTTTATTTATGCATTAGTCGACCTTTCTAGCCGTTAGGACCATCTTGCTTCAACAGTTAATTAACACAAGTGCCATAATTTAATACAGTTAATGCTACTTGATGCCCTTTAATGTACCTTCCATTAGTGATATTATTGTAGTATTACCCTGTAAATTAAAATGAGATCAAGACTAAGAGAGGCTCTCTTTAATTAAGGTACTGGCACACTGCATTGTCCATTATTCAGTAGAAAAAAATCACCCTGATTTAGTGAAGCAGACCATCAGTAAGTCAGAATTAGTTCATGTGGATTATTAGGCTTCTTGAATAATGTGAGCACAATGGCGTTGCTGAAATTGCTAACAACAGCCACGTTTCCTTTTTTCATCATCTTAATAAATACTCAATGGAAGTGGTAAATTGAGGATGAATAAACAGGTGGTAATAGAGGAGGTAAGGTGTTGAGAGTACACAGGCTTTCATCTCTAATGCAACATACATCACACCAAAATGCAAAGCAATGACAAAACAAACCCTATATTAAGTGGGAAAATCTCCTATCTATATTTCATTGTGAAGTATTAACCACCCCAGCATCTTGTATATTAAATAAGGTGGCTTTAAGATAGATGCTTTTCACTGTCATTGATCCTTAAAATACGGTGTGAAACAAATTACATTTTGTGCTGCCTTTAGAAATACACTACTATGAGCTTTGGTGATTTTAATTATATTTAACCTATAGGTTATTTTTTTCAGTAAAAGGACTAACTTTAAAATGTGTGTGCTAGCATCATTCATCCACCACATGTCAAGCTCCTTGGTAACGTCCCTTTGTATTCTGTCCTCCTGGAATAGTCTAGTTTGGCTTTACTACATGTATATAAATACCCAGGTCGCAAAGCCCGGAATATGAAACATTGTAGCAAGAAAAAAAAAAAAAATTGTAACTTAATTTCCAGTTAACGTCCTAAATTAAAGTGCAAGGGCTGGAAAGCTCAGCTGAATCAGGAACAGTGGCACAAAACCCCTGGTAACCCTTGCTCCCCTCCATTGTGTTCCCATGCTCAGGGCATGCCAGGGCACATGACTATAATGCTGATTTGGAGACTCTTTGGGGGGACTCTATAAGGCTTCTGGTAGGAGACCAAAACCACCTAAAACTGAGTGACAGTGGGCCTATTGCAAGCTACATTTGGTGCAACTAAATAATCAGGGGCTGTGTACCACAGCCCCACAGCTGCTTAGCAGTAAGCCAAGCCCATAAAGTCTTTAACAAGAAGGGCTCACTACATATTGAAGGAAAGGCCACCAAATCTCTAAAGAGCTGTTCTTCTCATTAGCAGAAGAGTGATAAGAATTCACGAGTCTAGTGAGATACTATTACACATCAGATATTTCTTTAAAAGCATGTGTCCAATTACTACAGCATTTAGACAACAAGCATTAGCATCAGAAAAGTTCTCCATACAGTCACGCTTCATTTCTATAGATAATTTTTTACAAGATTGCTGTGTCCCAGATGTGCTCGAAAGGTTTCTGTTTCTAATTTGCATGCAATGCACTCTTTTTTTAATCCTTCAGATGCTTTCTTTGATAAAGTACTGATAGTCTAATTGAAGTCAGACTAAGCTCCAAATGGGTTTTCAGATGGGGAGCAGATTTTCTTTAAAGCGTAAGGACCTTCAAATCCTGAGCTTTGATATGATGCCTTTGTAGAGCCAACCTACGTGGAGCCCAATGGAGAAAGGATACACATTAAATAGAACATACGTGTAATTTTTTTATGTATTGAGGCTAATTTTACCAAACTATTTCAAACAGTATCTTAAGCTGTCCATGATCCACTTAGCCCTCCCAAGAGAGGTCTGAAAAACAATTTACAATGTAACTAATGAGAGTTACAGTAAGACTTCTTAAAACAGCAACATTTATCTTATACTTTCACACATTAAATTACTGATTCTGTATGTATGTGTATGTATTTGGTGTGGACACAGAAGACTGTAACTACATGCTAAACCTATGGTCCTAAGAATGTATTTTGATGTCATATAAAAATACATTGGCACTGCAAAAGCACTTATGCATTCAAATTTGTACGTGGCATCAATTCATCCTTTACGTAAAGTTAGAAGAGTATTTTTCAATAGATTACATCACAGTAATTTGATTCTATTTTGATTTTACGTATTGATTTTTGCAATATGGAAATGCTTGTGAACATTGAAAGCTTGTATAAAAGAAGTAGAAAATAGCAAACTCACTACAGGAGTAATAAAAATATAGTCAGCAATGTTTTATATAATCACTCTCTCCATTTTTTTTTTCACTCACTCCTGTGTCTGCAAAAAATGCCCTGGCCTTCCATGATACATTAGCTTTTCTGTTCATTTTGATACTTAGCTTCTCTTGGAAAAAAAAAAAAAAAAGTTTTATTTTTAAAAAGGAAGATATGAACTCTCTATAGAAGAAACAGAGGAGAAGGAAAAGGCACGTTAGAGAGGTGAGTGAATTGCTAATAGAGGAGGTCCCATTTATTTCTTAACAAATTGGCATCCAAGACCCATGTAAAGGGTATCACACTCCTGCCTGAGGTCACCAGTCAATTGCTAGTTTGAGTTGGGAAGAAAATTTCCCAATAGGAATGTCATTGCACAGTTATTATTTCTGGGACTATGGCACCTGATACCAGCCACTGCTTGCCCTAGAGGGACTATTTGTCTTGAACCCAGCTGAGTAATCATCTTTGTTATATTCAGATCAGTCTCTCTACAACACTTGTTTTTTTCCATTTTACTTCAGCTTCACTGCATTTCAGAGCTAATTAAAGTACAAGGAATGAACTCTAATCTCTGCTGCCTTCCTTGTTCATAGGCAGCTCATAGCCAGACCTAGTAGGACGGGTCCGCGCAAGGGCTCCTGTATCAATCACAGCTTACATTAAAGGCCTGAAAAAGTCAAATGATAAAACAGAATCTCTCTTTTTAGTTAACTGCCATCAGCTCAGGCTCCAACTATATAAAAGCAGAAAGTGTCCTAATGCCAGGTTAAATTCCCGAGCCAATGTAAGAAACTGTTGATACTATCCTGCTGATGAGACCTAGGGCTCAAGATCCCAGGCTAGTGACAGCGAACACCCGGGACCTTGTGCCGCTGAGACAAAAACTTCTAGTATGACCAGGAACAGAATTCAACTCAGCCAGTTTTCCAATGAACATGTCCCAGCAGAAAACGTCATCATGTTTGGGGAAATAAACAGTTTTGAATATCCTCTAAAATCAACACACATGCCTGTTTCTAAAGGTACATATTCTCTTACCTTCCATATACCCTTATGTCTGAAATTGCATAAAAGTAGCGTGCCAGGTGTTGCTCATCTACGTATATTTCTCCAGTTCCTGGCCTAAGTAGTCTTATCCTCAGATCCGTGATGGTAAAGAAATCTCTTAACTTCTTGGTTGTGTCAAGCTGGCCATAAAGAGAAGCCATGTTATGAAGCCGAGGTCCAGCAAAAAAAGCGAATCGATCTTTGATTTCAAAGTGGATTATTTTACTATTTGTCATGTACCCAGTAGAGTATTCCTCTGTGCAAATGATTTCTAGGACTGTGTGCTGTGATAAATCCCTCACTGATTTTGGATCCATGTGGAAAGCATCTAAGCAGTCCGTGGCATAGTATTGGTAGGGCTGCCATGTTCGTCCATAGTCGAGCGATTTCTCCAGGATCATTTGGTCTGGACGGCCAGATTCAAAAGTGATAACTATGTTATCTGTAAGCTCAATGGTTTTGTTCCAGGAGAGCGTAATATTAACATGAAGAGGCTTTGGATAATCCTTCCAAGTCGTGGACTGCCAAAATGTGGAGGGATGTCTTCCTTCGAGATCAAACATCAGTTCCGGAGGATGAGCCAGTTCTTGGGTACTCGCATCACATTCATTATTGCACATGTAGGGATTCCCCTGGAAAAGAGCAAAGCAGTGTTACAAGAGGCACAGTATAGGTGACTGTGACACATAAAGATGTTTCTTGTCTGGTACACGAGAACTGCTGCTTTTTCTCCAGGAGCGAAATCAAGGAAGAAAAAACAAATGCTGGCAAAGAATACCTTTATCTTAGCAAGATTTATCTTGGCCATTTTACCTGTTAAAGTAAATATATAAACACACACATATACAGCACTCTGGCTTCTGTGACATAAACATTTGTCTTAGTATGTTTTAGAGAAGAAAAGAGTTTATTTACCCTGAATGACTCAGACCAGCGATTGGGTCACAGAAGACTGAGAACAGTAAGCAAGTCTTAATAGCTCAGTAAGTCCAACTCTTCCTAGAAAGATGCAGCAGCCGAAGAGAATTTCTATTTAAAACAAGTATGTTCCTCAAGAGCTCCACTCACAAAAGAAGTAATTTTTAGGGCAAGTGGTTTGAGGTCAGCAGTGCAGCACGTATGTACTCAGTATGAACAAGTACCCAGTACACCTTCAAGTTTCCTTTCACCTGGGTGTGAAATCTATCATGCTTAACTGTGCTCCCAGCTTAGCACCAGCTTGCCTTAAAACATTTACACTCGCCACCAAAAGCCATTAGAAAAACAGCGCTCTGCCAGCTCTGGGGCTTGATTCAGACATCTGCCATCTTATTACAGGGTAAGGAAGTACTTCAGGAAAGACTTTTCACAAGGCACCGGCTCCAATTTATCAGGACAAGATAATCCAGCACTTGATTAGGTGGGAGATGTCAGCAGCTCCAGCTGGAATGCTGCCAAGGTGGCTGGAGCTCTGAACTGGGGGCTGAGTTAAAAACAGCAACAAAAAAAGCTTGCCAATAGTGTACAGCTTTTACTGCTGTTTGTCCTCTGTAGCAAGGTGAAAGTGAATTATTCTCTTCCTGGCCTTTTGATGCATTAACTTGCACACTACAATCTTCTGCTTCTTCACAAAGGCTATTTTGTCTGCAGATTGGGGATATCTTGCAGCAGTTGCCAAGATATCAGACCCTGCAGGCTGCACTGAATCATGTCTATCTAATTTCAGCTTTCAACAGTACATTAACATTTTGCTACTTGTTCATTCTGCATTTGTTCCAGAGAGCAACTGCTGTTCTGTATCCTTCCCTCCGCCTTACACATGGATTGTGGAAGAGGCCATGCCTCTTTTCACTGATGGTCAGGACTGCTGCAGAAAAACACGTGCATGCCTATACCTAGCAATGCTTGACAGAGGCATAAGTGCAGCTGTTATTGTCATTAATCGGAGTTCCCCTCACCTACCCTGAAAACAGAATAAGCTCTGGTATGGTAATCAACCTTTTCTTTTCTTATAATTACAGTTATGCTTCTCTCCATCTCAAAGCCTCAGGGCAATGAAGTGATTCAATGCCATCCAGTGCAGGAAATGGGTTTCAAACATTAGCCGCCACCTTGGCCACTGCTCTGCTCCTTGACATACTCCCACAAAACACAAGCAAAAGGACTTCTGCACTCATTTTGGCCTCCCCACTGGCAAATTACTCTTACCTGGGCAGGGAAATACTCTTTTCTTTGTCTCTCTCTCTATCCCATTAATACAGCTGAATGCTAAAACTGACAACGATTCACTGGGACTCAAAGTTAGGAAAAAACTACAAGACAACAAAAAGGGTTATTTGAAAAGCAGCACACTGCTTGTTACACGGACAGCTTCAAAGCATGCAGCTGTAATTGGAAATACTCTGCAAAATGTTGTCTATAATAAGTGCCTGTTACAGCTCTGATTTCAAGCTCACAGTTACTATTTCTATGCCTTCCTTTTGAATAAAACAGTGAAAATAAAAAATAAGTTTCAAGCAGAATAGAGAAAACACCATATTTTTTATTATTTAAGCTCCATTTAATATATCAGACACAAATGGCAGAATTTGCTAACTTACTTAGGTCTTTTCTTTTCCTTAGGGAAAATACACATACTGTGAAATCTGAAGGTTCCAGACCCTTTGACTATATGTAAATATCAGTTTTGCAGAAAATGCTCAGAGTTGCATAAATCACACCTTTCTGAGGTTTACTAGAAAAATCTGGTCACTTCTGTACCTGTCACCATGAAGCTGCCTGCGTACCTATAATGTATATGCTTCTGTCATCACTTTGGTAAAAGCAACTTCACTGGGAGGTCATGGATATTGAAACCCAGCAAATAAATGTTCCTGGGTAGCCAGACAGGTGCATTAAGCACTGCTGAGGGATGGCTTTGGTTTCCTGCTCCACAAGCAAGCACTGAGTCTGTTGTGATCCTTCATGTTAAAAACTAAAGCCTCCCTGATCCGCTAGTCCGTGGATGCTGGAGGAAGCATGTTTTATGACTTCCAGCAGGTAACCCAGATTGTGTGGGACGTATTGTTTCTTTCTGTATGTAAGAGTTGATTTCTTTTGCTCCCTTTTTCTTTCCCCTTTCTTTCCCCTTTTCCTTTATAGCAAAAGCGGAGTGCCAATATAATCAGAGAACGCTGGGAGATGGGCCTCTAACAAACTACAAGCTAGTGAGAATGCAGTATAAGAGCTGGTAACAATAAGGTACCTAAAATAATGGTGCAGTGAATGCTAAAAATCAGCCCTAGCTTGCTACTGAATAGTAGTCTACAACTCTGTGAGCACAAAGCTTTTCAGGAAAGATGAGGCTATTCCAATTAATGGCAGAGTATACTGAGAAATGGGTCCGAATCACAGTGCTGTCCTGCACCTGAAACTCTTACCAGCAGTAGTGACAGTGGCACAACCTGCCACTGCAACCCTGGGGTAACGACATCACTGCAAATGAGAATCCTAATAAAAAGCTTCAGCATATCCTCCCCAATAAATTGAATTATTCTTTTAATTTTATAGCATGCAATTGTCTTTTAAGAGGTGAATGATTTGATGACACCAAAATAACCTGTGTGGAGTTCACTATTCTGGAGAGGAAATAAGGAGAAAAAAAATCTAAGCTGATAGAAGCCGATAAAACAAACGTCCTGAATTCTAACACTCGGAGGGGGAGAGAAATGATGAGTTTAGGTAAGTTCCCCTCTGCCTACTGACACAGCAGTCACTGATGTAATTTTGAAATATTTAACATGATTTATTGCTTCAGAGGCTTGGAGTCAGATCCCCATTTTCTCTACCAGCAACTTGGCTTTAAACTGTTTTTAATTCACCTTAAAAGTAATTTGCATGTTAAGTCATATTTACATTACCAAAACAGTGTAAAGGGGTCTTACCCTACATAAACATCCCTTAGTACACTTCTGTATGAAAACAATTAATTTAACTGGGATTAGTTACATATTTTAATGTCTTGATCTCTGTGATAATCCTCTTTAAGACCTCTACCTCAGTGAAATGAATACAACAAAGAGAAACTTTTCCCAATTTGTGAAAACTAAGCCCATTCTGTGTTGGGGACATCTAAAAGACTGAAGCATTAGCAGCTGTAAGTAATTTTGTGACCAGCAGGCAGCCGTAAATAGATCTTCATTTAAGCCTTCCAAGCAGCAGCTCTTCAGCTGGACAAGGTGGAAAATATTTATAACTTTTCAAAACGATATTTAAACCATTAGGAGATTTCTAAATAATTAAACACTAACAAATACTTCTAAACACTTTACTGCCAATTAGTGTAAAAGGTAGCTGAGGCTTTCCCAACACCATGACCATCTAAAAGAAACTCACTATTTTCCTATATAGTATTGGAGACTGATATTAAATAGCTCCTTGAAGGCAGGCAAATTATGTTGCTATTTATTTTGTTTTAGGCCGCTCATGGAATTCAAAATATTACCAGAACTACTGACATAGTCTAAAAGTTTTCGCTTTAGGAAAAGGTGCTCGTTTTGCAGGCATGGCGAAGGCCTGTGGCTGTATCACACTAATCATGCTCAGCCCCAGCGGAAAAAGCAGTTACCTGAGAAGCTGCTGACTAGGGCTGACTGGTCCCAGTAGGGTTTCCCCTCAATTAGCTGGATTTAGTTTGTTTTGGCACACATTGATGTCTGTTTGTGCGAGCCAGCTTGAACTTTTATACTGGTGTCTGAGGTGGTCTGCAAGTGTCCCTGCCTGGGACAGGGCACTGGGGCTGGCTTTGCTCCTGCTGGGCAGAAGCATGTCTTACCAAGCACCTGTTCAGGGACAACTCAGTGACGGACAGGACAGTGAGCCTAGAGTGAGGATTTTGGTTAAAAACAGAGTTCTAGCAGTAGTATGACCTTTGAATGTCAGCAGGGGAGCTGGCAGGGGTGCTGCAGTTGCCGTTTGAGGGTTAAAGTCCAAGCGCTGCTGCCCAGGCGAAGCTGCCTGACTCTCTCAGTGGCATCCACACAGGCTTAGGGCTTGACTGAAGATGTTGCTTCTTTCAATCTGCTTCCTGTCCACACTAACACCTCATGGACTTTTTTACGCAGGAACAAAGACAGAGGGGCTTAACCCTTCTGCAGCGTGAATATTGGTAGCTGTATCACAGATTACATGCTGTAATAGACACCTGGCTAAATCCCTACAGAAGAGTATAACTTGCATTTTCAAACTGGTGAAGGCTGCTGAGGTCAAGCAGGCCAAGATTTTAAGAAGGAGCAAAATGAATTTTCAAGAAGCGAGTCACAGCAAGCGATTTTTATACCGCTGCCTCAAGGTAGTTAGCACAGATGGACAAGACAAGAAATAAATACAGCCTGACTCATGTTTGGAGTGAGGTTGTGCAGTAAATTACTTGAAGTCACGCTTTTGGAAATAACAGAGTATTTCTGTTTTCCTTTCCAAGAGACCATTACAAGTAGTTCACTTGGTACCGTGCTGTACATTGCAGATAATTAATGAGACAGTAATAGCTAATAGCATCAATTGCCCTAATGCTTACATTTTGCTTGTGGTTTCTAACCAGGAATTACTTGTTTACCATGACAGAGCCAGATTATGAAACCATTAATTGGGAGATACTACTCATTAGGTGTTGTCC